ATTTCACCATTTTGTTTTGCCTCTTCAAACTTGCTTTGAAGTGAATTTCTAACTTCATCAGATTCAGCCTGCAGCCTAGAAACCTCAGACTCGAGTTCTGAGCACTTACGTTTCGACTCCTTTAACTGATTTCCGAGATCGGAAGCCTGAGTTCTCGATTCGCTAAGATTCCCTCGAGCAACTTCCAATTCATCTTTCAGTATTTGTGCATTACTTGATTCTAATTCCAGCTTCTTTATCAAAACGTCTCTTTCTTGTGTCAGATCATCAATTCTTGTTTGGTTTCCATGTACTTCTTTGACAGCAATCTTAAGTTTTTCCTGCAGTTCCTGAATCTCCTGTTCTCTATCTCGTAAAAGTTCAGCATCTAACGACGCCTTCTTTTCGGCAGATAATTTCAGACGATCGTATTCATCGTTTGCATTTTCCAACTTTCTCATGTAATCATCTCTCGCGATGACCAAAGAAGCTACATTTGCATTTAATTCATCCACCATAGAAATCCTCGTCTCAAGTTCTTCCTTATTGTTCAGAAGCTCGTCCTTTAAACGTTGAATCTCTAAACGGGCAGCAACCAGTTCGTCCTTTGCTCGATCGTATGACGAAAACAAGTTCTTCAATTCACCTTCCTTTTCTGCAAGGGAAGAATTGATCTTTTGAATGCTATTCTCCTTATCCTCAAGCTCCAAACCAAGCAAGTTAACCCTTTCTTGTAGAAGTTCAATAGATTCGAGACTTTCTTGCAGTTTCGCTTCAAGCGTATGCTTATCTTCCTCGGCATTCGACAGGTCATTTTGTAGGCTACTAATGCAAACATTAAGCTCTTCTATTTTCCCCTTTTCATTTCTTAACTCTTGTCCCAAGCGTCCAATGGTAAGATTGGCTGTATTTAGTTGGTTCACCAAAGAAATTTGCTCTTCCTTTGCCTTCCTTAATTGATTTGTACGTTCTTCCTGTTCATTCAGTAACTTTGCTTCATAGCTTCTCCTCATTGAAATAATGGAAGATTCCTTCTCTTTCAGTTCAGCATTCATCTGTGAATTCAAATATTGGTACCAAAATCATTACAGAACAAAGAACACAGAACGACGTAAAAGCGCCCCCCCCCCCCCCCCCCCCCCCCCCCCCCCCCCCCCCCCCCCCCCCCCCCCCCCCCCCCCCCCCCCCCCCCCCCCCCCCCCCCCCCCCCCC